GAAGGAAGGAAGGAAGGAAGGAAGGAAGGAAGGAAGGAAGGAAGGAATTGCAACAACTATTATTTATAAATCTAGTAGCACCTGGCAGCTAACTCCAAAATTCAAACCTCTCTTTATGGTGTCAGTCCATTCCCACAATTTGTTCACCTGTTCTAGCATCGATGATCTAGCCATATAGTAATCTGTCAGAATCACCTGGATATACACTTCTGAGTATGTTCCAATGCAAAAAGCTGGAATAACTCACTGTGTCCTCAAAGCCAAAGTCCAACTGATGGCCCAGAAATGGGCCAATGAATGGTCAATGAACTGAAAAATAACTGAGGGAAGAATTAGCTCTCTCAACATCATGTTTCTGGAATAGTTTATTTGCCAAGAGAACCAAAACAAATTGAGTATCATAGACTGATAAAGACCCAGATGAAATGGCCAGTTACATCCAAATTCATCTGGAGCTGTGAGACCATTGCTTCTTTGATTATCTGCAATATTTGAGAATTATTCATAATCATAAACCAGATAACAGATAATCAGAGTTGGAAGACAACCAAGCGGGACACCCTACACCATTTCTGTCAAATGGCAGTCCAATCTCTTTTTGAAAGTCTCAAGTGATGAAGCTCCCACAACTTCTGAGGGCAAGCTGTTCCATTGGTTGATTGTTCTCCCTGTCAGAAAGTTTCTCCTTATTTCCAGGTTAAGTCTCTCCTTGTTCAGTTTCCATCCATTATTCCTTGTATGGACTACAGGTGCTTTAGAAAATAGCTTGACCCCCTCTTCCTCTCTGTGGCAGCCCCTCACATATTGGAAGACTGCTATCATGTCTCCCCTGGTCCTTCTCTTCACTAGACTAGTCAAGCCCAGTTCCTGCAACCATTCATTGTATGTTTTAGTCTCCAGTCCCCTAATCATCCTGGTTGCTCTTCTCTGCACTTTTTCTAGAAAATATCTCCAAATATGATTCAACTCTACTAATAAAAATAATCTTGTGAGTGATGTTGAAACTGCTAGAGATATCTCCATATTTCACAAATCAGACTGGACTCCATAAAAAAAAGAGCTATAAGGTTCGGTTAATATATTCCATCCAGTCCTATCAGGTAGCTTGACCATAGTATTTTGGCGGCCCTTCATCCCTACAAAATGGGATCTGCAAAAGGTCCTCTCCAATTTCTGGAGAAGTTGGTTTCCATCCCTTCAGAATGGCTGTCTGTGGCAATAAGAATTATGCAAAGCTGGTTCTTCTTCAGAGAGAAACAAAATATCAAAGACCAATAGTAGTTGGGACAGATCCATGACAATCATGGCCAAACTAAACCATTCCTGAATTGACAATCTGTCCATAAATATTACAATTCCTGAGAAAATAAAAGTCCAATGCCACAGTAGCAATTACTCTGATAGACCAGGTAAAAAGATAGCCCCTCTGAAGGGTATCAATAAACAGAGTAAAATGAAGAAAGCAACAGTAGGAATTGAATCTGTTAAAAGATACCAAGATTCAACATGGAAATCTGCTTTGGCTGTTACAAATTGTTTCAGATTTCCTTGCTGATAGGGTATACCCCTGTTCTTGTCCTCACTACACGTTAGTCTGTATGCACCTCAACATGCCGCTAAAACCCACTTATCCTCCAATAAAACGGACAGTGTATGTAGATCTGAAGGCTTTATTGAAAGAACAGGATATGGTGAAACTGAGAAAAATAGGGATACATACAATAAGAACTAAATACAAGATAGACAATATTGAGTTACTGCTGAACATAACAATTCATAAATACAAGCAATTTAAATCTCACCAGTGATGCTCTGTGTTTGGGATGTGGGTTTGTCCTTGGATGACCATGTGCCACAGTTTAAGATAGATTCTTCTTTGTGCTTCTGGCTTCTCCAAATGCTAAAGGAAATGGAGTCTGGCTTCCCAGCGTGCACTTGGTTTGAGAGTGTGGGCTGATGGGGAAATGGGTTGGGTCAGTTCCAAACTTACTTGGTATTTCTCTGTCTAGCCACTAGATGGGGCTAGAGAGCAACAACAGTATATAAAGATCGTACATTAGGGCATATTTGTCCTCCGGCTACTAGATGGGGCAAGAGAGCAAAAACAGTATATAACAATTATATGATGGGGCATGACAACTCCAGATAATTGATTATTATCCCCTTTATACTTTATCTTATCTATAGGTCAGCGTGCATGTGTGGGGCAGCAGTTGGCAAGAATTGAGATCTTCATCTTTCTGACCAGCCTGTTAAGGGCCTTCAGCTTTCAGTTGCCTCAAGGAGTGAAAGAACTCAATGAAGAACCTGTTGTAAGAGTGTCAATGCATCCACACCCTTATAAACTGTGTGCTATTCCCATACATTCTTAAACTTAAACACCATAAAAAGCATAACATTAATTATAGGCTAGCTATTCAGTATGTTACTGTTTCCTAGATAGCTACTCACTTAATAGGATGTTTTGCTTCTGTTAACTCCACACTTAAACTTCTTTAACACCTTGCTGGGTTCAAAGACCAGAAAAACACCAGAAGAAAAACCAGGAGGTTGTATATGAATAGTGTGCGAAAGAAGCTTGTTACACTTTAATTTTGCTTCCTTTTTGGTGCCAATAAAACATATCACTTTCAATTTACTCTTGGTGTCCTTTTTCATATTTTTAAAATCCCCCCCCCCCAAGGCTTCATGTTAACCAGGCAGAGGAAATTTACAGTCAATCCTATCATGATGAGTCTATTCAAGTATTGGTCTAGCAAACGTTTTGTATGCTCTAGTTAGTAGTGTGATTAATGCCTTTTTGGTTATGTAGTTACAGTGGGCTCTAGCACTTAGATCATTAGAGATGAGTACTCCAGGTCCTTGACAGAGTTTGGATCATCAACAAGGTCTTGACTATTCAGCTTGTATTTTATTTTCTGATTTTTTTTGCCAATATGTAAGGCAGAGCATTTATTTGTTGAGATTTGAAGTTGCCATTTGTTTGACCATTCTGATACATAATCGAGGTCTTTTTGAAGGATAGCAGTATTGTCGGTGGTGTTGAATAGCTTTATATCCTCAGCAAAAAGAATGCAGTTGCTCTTAATGTGATCACAGAGGTCACTTATGTAAAGTATGAAGAGAGTTGGTCCTAGAACACTGCTTTGGGAGACCCCACTGTTGACAAGTACAGAATTTGATAGGACGCTCCCAATTTTGACCATTTGTTGTCTGTTTGACAGGAATGCTTCTAGCCAGTTATGCAGGTGTCCAGAGATACTGTAAGATTTTAGTTTTAGTAGTTTGTCGTGTACCACTGAATCAAAGGCGTTACAGAAGTCTATGTAAATTGCGTCTATTGCTTTGCTCTGATTGAGTTCTGTAATCCATATGTTTTTGCAGTGTAAAAGTTGCAGATTACAGGACAGTTATTTTCTGAAACCAAATTGTTTATTGGAGAGTAGGTTGTTTGTCTCTAAGTGGAGGATAATGGATTGGTTAATAGTTGATTCCATGACTTTACAAGTGACACAGCATAAAGGGATTGGTCTGTAATTTTCAACTAGGCTGGGGTCTCCCTTTTTGAAGATGGGGATGACCGTGGCCTGTGACAATAGGTTAGGCAAGGAGCTGGTCCTGAAAGATTTTTCAAAGATTATGCTTAGACAATGGATAGCTTTTTAAAAAAGTAGGCACATATTCCATCCAGTCCAATAGATAGAGACGGTTTTAGATTGCATAGTGCTTTTTCAACATTGTCTTCTATAAAATTGATATGTATTAGATCATTGTAGTTGTCAGAGATTCAACTAGGAATTACTGGTCATAATCCATTGCTGTTTACAAATACTGAGCCAAAGAATGTGTTAAAGAGGTTGGCTTTAATGGTGTCTTCATTGTAGTCTTTACCATTAGGTCCTTTCAGGAGTGGGATGGACCTTGAGTCTTTTAGTCTGCTGTTTACAAAATTGTAGAAAGCATGGGAGTCTTTAGTTATTTATTTTTATTTTATTTATTTATTTGATTTGTCAATCGCTTACAAGATAATAGGTATAAGTATATACATAGTTATGAATACATGAAATGGGTACATATAAGAAAAATAAAAGAAACAATAGGACAGGGACGGTAGGCACGTTGGTGCGCTTATGCACGCCCCCTACAGACCTCTTAGGAAAAGGGTGAGGTCAATAGTAGACAGTACAAGGTTAAAGTTTTTGGGGGTTGGGGAAGATACCACAGAGTCTGGTAGAGTATTCCAGACATTGACCACTCTGTTGCTAAAATTGTGTTTCCTGCAATCAAGTTTTGTGCGGTTAACCTTGAGTTTGTATCTATTGTGTGCTCTTGTGTTGTTATGGTTGAAGCTGAAGTATTCATTGACAGGTAGGACATTGCAATGTATGATTTTATATACTATACTTAGATCAGACCAAAGACGGCGTATTTCAAGGTTTTCTAGGTCTAGAATTTCAAGTCTGGTGGCATAAGGTATTCTGCAACGAGTAGAGGAGTGGAGAACTCTTCTTGTGAAATATTTCTGGACTTTCTCAACTGTGCTAATATCAGATACATAATGTGGGTTCCAGACTGATGAGCTGTATTCGAGTATTGGTCTAACAAATGTTTTGTATGCTCTAGTTAGTAGTGTGATATTACCAGAGAAAAAGCTACGTAGGATTAGGTTAACAACTCTTAATGCCTTTTTGGCTGTGTAGTTACAGTGGGCTCTAGCACTTAGATCATTAGAGATGAGTATTCCAAGGTTCTTTACAGAGCTTGGATCATCAACAAGATCTTGACTATTCACAAGATCTTGACTATTGTTTGTCTCTAAGTGGAGGATAATGGATTGGTTAATAATTGATTCCATGACTTTACAGGTGACGCAGCATAAGGAGATTGGTCTATAATTTTCAACTAGGCTGGGGTCTCCCTTTTTGAAGATGGGGATGACCGTGGCTTGTGACCATAGGTTAGGCAAGGAGCTGGGCCTGAAAGATTTTTCAAAGATTATGCTTAGAGGTTCAGCTATGGCAGTGGATAGCCTTCTTAAGAAGTAGGCACATATTCCATCCGGTCCAATAGATAGAGATGGTTTTAGATTGCATAGTGCTTTTTCAACATTGTCTTCTGTAAAATCAATATGTATTGGATCATTGCAGTTGTCTGTGGTTTGGCTAGGAAATACTGGGCATGATCCATTGCTGTTTACAAATACTGAGCCAAAGAATGTGTTAAAGATGTTGGCTTTAATGGTGTCGTCGTTGCAGTCTTTACCATTAGGTCCTATCAGGGGTGGGATGGACCTTGAGTCTTTTAGTTTGTTGTTTACAAAATTGTAAAAAGCGCGGGTGGAATTGGTGCATAGAAGGTTTTCCTTTTGTTTAATGTGATAATTGGTGCGTTCAGTCTTTATCTGGTGGCATAAATTTTTGTATCGGCTTTTTCTACCGGCCGATCGAAGTGGCTGGTGACTGCATTTGGGGAGCTTCCATCACCTGAAAGAGACTGCCTAAAGGCGAGGGGACACGGGCAGCCACACCACGCCCTGAAGCAGCTGGGGACTCTGCCTTTGGGGAGCTTTTGTCGGCTGATTGAAGTGGCCTCATGGCGAGGTACGTGCGTATGGGCCGCTCTAGCTGGGGGAGGAAATTAAGTCCCCCCCCAAAAAAGACGGCCTAGCCGTTTTTTCAGGGGTCAAAAAAAAATAAGGCCTGGCCTTATTTTGTGAGAAACACGGTAGGCACATAATCCATCAGGGCCAATAGATAGGGATGGCTTTAGGTTACATAGTGCTGTTTTTTTTTTCTTTTTAAATAAACTTTATTGAACTTTTATTACATTAAAAACATAAAAAATATATCACTTAATAACAGCAATTTGTAGAGTTTATCATATACCAATGATTCGTGCTCTGTTTGCAGGTATTGATTTATGCGTAATTACATTCTTATTTTATCTATTACTTATATTTGATAACTATCTATCTTTAATCTATCTCCATTTTATCCAGCTATACCATTGCTCCCACACCTTATAAAGTATTGCAGTTTCTTTATTGTTTAAACTCAGCGTTAATTTGTCCATTTCAGCATGGTTCATAACTTTTTGTATAATCAATTTCTCTGAAGGTATGTCTGAATGTTTCCAGCACTGGGCAAAAGCAATTCTGGCAGCAGTCAATATATGTAATAATAAGTATTTCGTGCTCTTTACATATTTTTTTTTAAAGATTCCCCAATAGGAAGAGTTCCAGTTCTAGGTCTAGTTGTTCACTAGTGATTTCCTGTAACCAATCTTTGATTTTAAGCCAATATTTTTGAGCCTCTGGGCAAAACCACCACATATGGTAGTATGTTCCTTCTTTTTTTTTTTTTTTTGCATTTCCAACATATGGGACTCATTTTGGGGTTTTAATTTAATAGTGCTGTTTCAATGTTAACCGCTGCAAGTTAACATTGAAATGATACTATAGTCACTATATTCAGAATATTGATAAATATTTAATATTTGTCTGTATATGTTCCATTGCTCCTGCTATCTGCTATCCACCAAACAATGGGTCACAGACTAACATTAGGGTTCAGCCCTGCTTTCAAACAATTTGAAAAATTCCTGAAAATTCAACAGTTGTCTCTTTAATAATAAAATGAGATTCACATCCAGTGCCTCTATGAACCAATTTCTTAGTCCGCTAGTTGAGCAATGGGCTTTTTTCAAATTGGATCTTGCCGCAGTCTGTCAACACTAAATGATCTTGCAAAAGATTTTCCAAATTATAATTCACAAGTTAGCTTTCGATAGCAAGCATATTCAATTTGGAATTTCTATGGCATTCCGTGGAATATTTTTGTGCTTCATGGAGACCTTGCCAGGGGGAATTCTAAGGATTGTCGTGTATTGTATTAATGTTTTTATTGGGGATTCTTTGGCTAAGAAACTTGGTGTGTAAGTAAAAACAATTGACAATACAGGTGCCCGGGTAATAAAAGAAAAAAAATGTGAATTTGGAGTGTTGGAGTGTTGAACTGATGAACTGAATTGAACTGGAAGACAAGATAAAAGCCATTCAAGTTATGTGAAAACTGAAATACAAACCAGGTTATCAAACTTTCTTTTGCCTTCTAAATTTTTATCAGCATAACATAATAACAGAGTTGGAAGGGACCTTGGATCTAATCTGTTCAAGCAAAAACCCTATACAGGTAGTCCTTCGCTTACAATCACAATTAAGACCAAATTTTTTGTTGCTAACTGAGACAGTTGTTAAGTGAATTTTGCCCCCTTTCATGAGGGAGCTCAGCCTCTACACTCAGAATATCAGCACTTGGGTTGGTCTATTCCACAGCTGAATACCGCAGCCATTCGGCTTAATAGCTGCCACACTAAGCAAGATCAATGCTAGACTAAATGATACAATGAGGATCATAAGCAGTTGCGTAAAATCTATTCCTACTGTTCTGACCCAGGCTTCCCAAGATCACGAAGCAGACTCTTCATCCCGATAAAGCCCCTTTCATTTAGGTTAAGGTG